CTTAAGAGCTCAAAAACTTCAATGCATGGAGAGTCAGCATCTGGATATTGGTTTTCAGATGTCAACAAGGATAACAACTCATCAGAACTGCTCTAGGAATGAACCTTACCAGCTTTTTAGCGAATGTATGTATCTGAATTAACTCTTTAAGCATTTGACATTCGTTATGWTATTGTTATTGACTACGTAATGAGTGAAATGCAGCAGATCGAACTAGTAGCAAGGAGAACAATGGCAATGGGATAAGCCAGTCTCTGGATACRGATTTCCAGTRYGTAGATACTTCCCAAAGTARAATGACTCTAAAGAACTGCTCTATGAGTGAAGGTCATACTCCTTGCAAAATCTTTTAACTTATGCACTCAGATTATCTGCTTGTCTTATTGATTCCTCTCGATGTTGTAAAATGCAGAGAAATGTGGAGAACAATCACACGCTTACCAGGGCAGTTCTCAAGTATGCGTTTTCTTATATATATATAATGAAATTAGTAGTTTGTTTATTTTTAAATTGTGGATGCTCACAATGGAAATGTTGTGCAGATTTCTTTTGGGAATCTCCCCGATGAAATTCTTATGCAGATTTTTGGTTTACTATCGATAAAGAAAACAGAAAACATGCATTCTTTTGTTTCCCGCAACTGGCGGCTTGTGTATCATCTGCATCGCTTGCAGCATTATTTGCTGGAGAAGAGGGTGGTGATGATTCGAACAGTCTTCCCAGCTCAGGGTTACGCAGGTGTTACTACAGTCATTATTGACAACAAATTTCCGGACTCACCTGAGGCATTGTTTACGAATGAGGATATGTCGCTTATGGCGAATGAGTTCACGAATCTGCAGCATTTGGAGCTTCTTGGGTGTAGTTTAGTCACCGCTAGTGGGCTCACCTACTTAGCGAGTCGTTGTCTGAAACTCATCTACCTGCATCTCTTGGTAAGCAAAAGTTCTCAAATAACTGAATTATCTACTGTTCTACACTAACTTCAATCTGCTTGTGTTTGCAGTGTTGCTCTCGATTTGATGATGATGCTGTGTTGGCGGTGGTGAGAGCCAGCAAGAGCCTCCAGCGTCTCAAGATTTCATACTGTGAAGTGACTTTAGCCGGGATCCACACTCTCGGCACACTCACGACCGTATCTGCTGAGGGTTGTCCATTTTCCGAGGTAATTGGTTCTTTTTTGTCTTCCGTGTAGGTTTTTCCCTTTGTCGAGGGTGTTTACGATATTATGTGTTGTAAAATTTGCCAACCAATTGTAAGAAATCATTGGAACTGCATGTAAACATGTCTGAAATCGGTATATAATAAAGAAAATTTTTTTTTTCAAAAAATATGATTTTTCAAGCGTCACCTTCCAAAAATGTCGGACTTTTGAAATCTTTAAAAAATATCACTTTTTCAAA